CTTCCCATCTGAGTCGTGCTGCCTGCCCATGGTTCTAGTTGCCAACGACAGAGCTGTAAAGGCAAGGCACCAATCCCTAGTTTTATAATTACTCCCACTTTTCGATAAACAGAAGCTAAAATTCTGTCTGCAGGCCCCAGAATGTGTCTGCTATTCTTTAAGTTAGGACGTTTTTGAAGGTCTGGATCCTACAAACTCTGAAGCTCTGTAGGGCCTCTCACTGTGGCATGAGTGGGCTGGACAGAACAATGGTGTGGCTGGATTCTTGGAGTCCGCCCATTCCCCAGAGGTAAACTTAAGTCCCTCTCCTTGCCCACACCTCGGAAACTTGCTTCAGCTTGAGTCTTCCCAGATACTGGAAGCTCACTAATCTGCTTCACTGCTTGTTTCTCTCCCTGCTTTCTGATCTCAGGCCATCCCACACACCCCATAGTGTTTCTAATACAGGTCTGTCCTCTATTTGAAACTTGCAATAAAAAGGCAAGCATACATAGTGGCACATGCTCATAATCCCAGCCTTGGGGGAGTGGGGCGTTGAGGCCCAATGATTGCTGTGAATTCTAGGTCAGCCAGGGCTATATGGCAAGACCCTGTAGCAAAACAACAAGCAAGGCCTGATGATGCGTGCCTGTAAAACCCCTTCTCTGAAGGACAGGGGCAGGCAGGTTTGAGGTCAGTTTGGGCTATGCAGATGAGACATTGTTTCAAAATAACAAAAAGAAACTTGCAGTTCAGAAGTCAGGCATGTCATTAGGGTACAGAAGCTACATTGTGGCTTAAAATAGGCCCAGAATGCTGTGGGAGCTCAAAGGGCTAAACAAGGGACCTAGATGATTGGAACAGAAGGCCTAGGAGAGGTGATGAATGGTGCACACTTAGAATAAATAGTATGGAATGATGTTTGGATTGAGGGCACAATCTGAGCAAAGGCTTGGAGAGAATTTTTTAAGAAGAGTCAACAGTTTCACATATGTTCATGCTTATGATGGGCTCTTATCCACACATTAACTGGAGACCAGTGTCAGATTATAAGGATCAAGGCTGGAAGCATAGGCTGATTTTAAAGCCGGTAACCTCTTAAATAATTTATTTTAACTTCATTTTATGTGCATTGGTGTGAAAGTGTCAGATCCCCAAGGAAATGGAGTGGGCTGCCATGTTTGTGTGGGTGGGAACTGAACCCCAGTCCTATGGAAGAGCAGCTAGTGAGTGCTCTTAACCCTTAGCCATCTCTCCAGCCCCAGCTAGTGGCCTCTTAATTAAAAGTTCTTGGAGTCCTTTCCTGTGTGGGGCAGGGATGAACTAATACTGCTCACTACTGTACACCTTGCTTGAGAGCCTAATCTTGTCGGTTACCAAACTGGTTAGGTGAGACTTTATAGAAAACAAAATAAGAGTTTAGCTGAGTTAGTTCATCTTTTGTGCCAAGGTCAGTTAATGTTGATCTTGCCAGGATGATCTTCTTCTGGCCTTGAAAGCAGCCTGATCCATAGATGATATAAAGTCGAGGAGTGGTGAACTGGTCAATAAGTTGCCCCTTTCATAATCTGGTCTAGTCAGGAAGTCTGTTGTCATTTTACTGTGTCGAGTCTTGACGTGTTTTCAAAGAGTCAGGTCTGCCCAAGGCATCCTTGACCACTATAAGGGAGTTCCCAAATGTTCAGGTCACGCTATTTTCAGAAGGAGGGCAGGCCTAGTTCTGTTACCCTCCTTTAGAGGGATAGTTTCCATTACGGGGGGGGGGGGCACTGCAAGGATGAGCTACTGGGTGTGTGCTCCTCCCAGGCTCAGGGCTCCTCCTCCAGGAGCTTGGGTTCAAGCTGCAAGCAAATGGAGAACAGATCGTACTCCCGTTTTATGGGAGAAGTAAAGTGGTGGTTCAGGGCCTGTCGAGGGTTTGGTGGTGGCCCTGGGCTCGCTTTTGTTGCTCTAGGGAGGCTGTAGCGAGCCGAGGCCAGCAGTCTCGCGCACCTGCAAGTACGCGAGGCTGGGGGCGGGGCCAGGGAGCGGTTGGCCAATGAGGAGACACCCCACGGACCGCTGAACTCTGCATGGGGAGAAAAGGGGACCAAGGGGAAAGTTCGAAGCTCCAGAGCTAAGGAGGTTGTCGGCGGGAATCAAAGCCTTCCCAGAAGTTGGGAATCAGGGAGCGTGTTCTATGGACAGGAAGACACTCGCCTAGCCCGGTCCTCTGGGAGCGGTGGGCCACGCCCTGGCCGTCCCTCCCTCCCCGGCTCCGCCTTACTGGCCCACCGGCCCTGGCGCCACAGCGCCACCTGCTGGAAGTTAGCTTCTATATCTGGCGCACACGACAGCTAGAAGGCTGCTGCGCCTGGGGGCCCAAAGTTTGCTCACCCTGGGCTCAGAGACTCCAAAGCTCTAGGCAACTGCCTTTGTAAGTACAGTCATCAAGCTTGTGACGGTCAGAAAAAAAAACTTGTTTGTCCCCGCCCGAGGGGGGTGATCTACCTCAGTTCCACGCAGGGATGAAGAGTTGCTGGAAGGGAGGCAGTGGCAGTCGTTTGGGAGTCGCCTGCCAGAAAAGCATAGTTGAAAGCAACTCTGTGCTCCTTGTGAATCCAACGGCAGATAAACACGTGGGTAAAGGAGTAGCTTCCTGAAATGTTCTATGATGGGCCAAAACGCTGTGGCAGGGACTAGGGATGTAGATCAGTATACAGGAAGCCCTGAGTTCCATCTTCAGCACTAAATAAATGGATTTTGGCAAACAATGTCTATAATCTCAGAACAGGGGGAGGTCATGTTTGGTCACATAGCTTGGGCTACATGAGATGGCCCCCTCAATGCTCTCAAAACAACATATATACTGTGATAGTTCCCGAGTATGGATTACCCTGCCTGTCCTCTTCCTGCTGCCATGTAGGGCAGGCGGTTGCACAATTGGAATCTGGACTCATTTATCCTTTCAATAAACATTTATTGAGCACCTACTGTGTGTCAGGCACTGTGGCTAGGTGCTGGAGATACATCACTGACTAGCACACAGCCCCTGTCCTGGAGGAGCTCACAGTCTATTGGAGGGGAAACATACATAAACACAATTAAAGAACTACATACATTGTGCTACAATAAGAGGTATATACAAAGTGCTGTGGGAGTCAGGAGGAGGGAAACACTTATCAGTTGCTGGGAGGTGCGGATCATCACTTGACTCCTGACTCCATTAGACCATCACAAAAGCAGGGGTATTGCTGCCACCTGACTCTGGTTAAAGTAAATCTGTCTCCTGAGGTTCTCCTCCAGCCTCTTCCATAACTCTTGTCAGCAAGGGTTAGTTAACAGGTAAGCTAGTTTAACACTTTGAGTAGGAAAGAAACCGGACAGGGAGGTGTCTTTAGGATCAGATGATGTTCAAAGTAATACAAATCTTGGGTGTTAAGATAGGGGATGGGGTGTACTGTAGAGGCACTGAGACAGGAATGGCAGGCCCAGGGCAGTGAAGCACCTGGGGTAACTATCTGAGGAGAGGGAAGAACAGGGGTCACCTACCTCTAAGTTTGGTACCCATCTTTCATCAGATCAATCAGTGACTAGTCACTGGTACTCATCTGTTTTATAGTGTGCCCAGTTTTGTGGGTGCCACAGTGATGCCTATTCCTCAGGAGCTAACACACACAGGAGACTAAATAGGTCCGGATCTAAACTTCAGGCCTACGTAACAGTTTGTGATTACGATAGAGATGTCACAGGCTGTTTATCATCGCCTGCCCATCAAGTGGCAGTTACAAGTTTAAGAATTAAACTTAAGCTGCTTCTACCAAATTCACTCGAGTCAATTTTTAGTTATTAGTGAGGAGAGAGAACATTTTGGTTGAACAGAACCCAGGAAAGAAAAAGCATAGGTGGGAATTTACGACAGTAACAAGTTCAAAGACCATGGAATCCTTTTTGAGTAGTACCTTGGCGTGGGGTGGGGAGTATTAGACAGGACCTAATAGTGAAGGGCCACCGACTTGAGCTTTGTTTCCTGGAGGAGCTGATACCAAACTTTGGATCTGTCTAGAATTACTGCCCACAGCTCTCCAAGTGCTTCCCAATTCCTGCAGGACCATGTCATATTTAAGGAACTAAAGGGTTAATGCTAGAACTCTAGAAAAGCCTGGAGGATGCGTATTTTAAATACTGGCCCTACCTGCGGGCCAGGATTCATTGAAGGCCTTTTGGCAGAAGAAGGACAGAATAAGTGACCTGCAAGATGGGAAGTGCTGAGAAGTCACATTGGACAGGATGCTTACGTGTGTTTGGAAGGGGGGAGGTGAGCAGCATGAGCTGGGCTGGAGGCTCTGGAATGAAGACAGGGCAGATGTCAGGAGATGAGGGAGAGGGACAGGGTCAAGTGCAGGTAGCCATGGGGCAGCTCGGAGAATTCCAGTCTAGAAGGTCAGGAAGCAGCTAACTAGAGCATAGGCCAGGAACTTAGAAAAGTAGGCTCTGGACTGAATAACTCATTTCAAAGAACTGGCCCATGACAATGGTGGGACCCCAGGAGAACACCCACATATAAAGAGATGATGAGAAGCCCACACAGAAACAGAAAGCACAATGGGTATAGAAGTGCTATGAAAAGTGTTGAAGGTTTTAAGATAATTCATTTCCTTGGAGTTAGGAAGTGTATACAAATATTATATTCCAGGTTGCTGTAGGACGATCCCAACTCACAGCGTGCCTTGTGCTCACTAAAACTGGTTGACTGGGGGTGTAGCACAATTGATGAGCATGCTTGTCTAGCCTGCACAAAGTCCTGGGTTTGATCTACAGAACAACACGAACTGGGCATGGTGGTACACGCCTCCAATTCTAGCACTCGCAAGGTGGAGGAAGAGAACCAGAATTTCAAGGTCATCTTAACCTACATAGCAAGTTCAAAGCCAACAAGCTATATGAAATATTGTCTCAAAAAACTAAAACCCAAATACGACAGCAACAATAACAGCAACAAGGGTGACCTTTTCTCAAGATGCTTATTTCCAACCATCGAGAGAGTGTCATCATAAGCTGATTTTATTAGCACAGACATTTCAGTGCCAATTGCTGGGAATGTAGCAAATGAAACTGCATAACCACAGATGCCCCCCCTCCCCGCCGCAGGGAAGGAGCTAGAACAGTAGGAGAGAATGATGACCAGCCAGGGAGGTAGTTAGGTCAAGTGGGTGCTTTGGCACAAAGGACATAGCAAAGGTCCTGGAGCACTGGTTCACATTAACCAAATTTACCAGAGGCTAGAGTTGCTTCTGGGCCTGACATCTCTAAGCATTGCCCCTACACCTGGTAGGAGAGAGGCAAGCAGGTTCAAGGAAGGGGGAAGGAGGCCCTTGGCAGAGAGGCTGACTTTAAGAGAGATCAGAACCCTGTGCAGGAACAGACAAGAAGTAGAGTCGAATTGTGCTGACAGGAGCTATGGGAACTCATGTGTACTAGCTCTTGTCTTCTTGGTGAATTGGGTTAGGTTTGATAGCTAGAAATGAAAAGCAACGGTCCACCTGAGAAGGAGAGGGTGGGATAGAGAGCACTGTGTGACTGGAGCTGGGTTGCCACGCCACTAGCCTCAGCGACTTGTGACAGGTGGAACATCTCAAACGGAATGAAGAAGGAACCTGAGACGGGGAATGAGGAGCGCTGTGCCAAAAAAGGCTACTGTCAAGCATAGGGCTGATCGCACACACAGCCAAAGGTCTGGCCACAAACGTTCAGTTCATTCAGGCCTGCCTAGGGACTTTATAATTGGGGCTGACTATAGGTAAGTGCTTTTCCCCACAACCTTGGGCAAAGTACTTCAGGTTCCAGACTGATGGTAAGGTGACTACAGCAAACAATTGCTCCCAAGGCTAGGTGTGCTTCTTTTCCCTCCTGCTATGCGGTTAGCATATGTGGCCTCTTGTCCCTTAGCAATGTCCTCTCGGCATATGCACCCATTGCAGATCTCCTACCTAGACCCGTTCCATCTCCATGATATCTATCCAGACTGGGGACATTCAACTCGTACTTTCTAGTCTCAGAATGGCATTGTGGCTATGAGAGAGAAAAAGAGAGAGAGAGAGAGAGAGAGAGAGAGAGAGAGAGAGAGAGAGAGAGAGATTAGATTAGATAGATAGATAGCACTTTCTCTTAAAACTGCCTCATGTCTGTGGCTGACCTAGGAATGGATGGACACACACACACACACACACACACACACACACACACACACACTTCAAGAAAAGACCTGACATCTACATCTCATCCTCCTCAAAGAAACGAAGGCACAGACCTACAAGTGCACACAAATACACACGAAGATATTCACATATGGGATGGTAAGTTCCCTGTGTAGGGACTATAGATAACAAAGTATGACCAGGCTTGACTCTTCTCATGTGGCCTCTGACCAGCTCTGGCCACAAGGTGTTTTCTGGTTTGGGGCTCTCCTTCCATCAGCAAGTTAGTCCATTATCCTTCCAAGAGCATAACAACCCCCTAGTGCTCTTGAAGGCCATGGCCTGATGTCAAGGGATGCTTGAGCTGGGCATAGTTGGATCATGGTGATGTCAAAACAGGCCTGGAGGACCTGGTATCAAATGTATCACACCCCACTAGATGTAAGGGCAGGTATTCTACCTACTTAAGTCCACATGAAAATGCTTCACAAATTTGCCTGGTAGGTCATACTTTTGATCCCTTTCTTTATATGTCATGAGGAGGCTCCATCTTAATGAGGGAAGTGGGATTGAATGGGGAGAAAGGAGCGGGGGTTGGGGATGTGGTCAGCAGGCTCCCAGATGTGGTCACACTAGGCTCAGCTACAAGCATGGACCCTGAGCCTGATGAGAGCTCAAGTTCAGCCACTGGGGTTAGCCCAACAGTGGGGCGGCTGGGGGGAGATAAAGTCTGGTTCCCCACAAGGCTCAGGTTATGGGAACCTCTTGAAAGCACCGGACTCTGAAGTGGCTGAAGATGAGCCTGATCTCTCAGGAGCTCTCTCAGGGTCTCTTCAGGAACCAACAGCCCCTCCACGGGAGGCCCAGTCACCACACCCTGCACATATGAGGGGGACCTCAAGGGCCCCTCCTTTACCCCAGACACTGATGTGCCACCAGAAGTCCTGATAAAGGCAGCAATGACAGTCCCAGGGGGCTGAGAGCTAGGCCCTGCTGAGCCAGCACCTATGACCTGGGATGGTATTGGGTTGGTTGGATGGTTAGCCCCAGCCAAAAGTTGAGGGAGGCCACTGAGGATCAATGGGGCCCCTTGGGTTGCCACCTGGTTCTCTTGGAAACTGGTGTTCAGGGGGAAGGAGGCCTGCAAAGTGAAGGTGTCTTTGAATGTTGACACCTGTGGAACACTCTGGAGAACGAGTTGAGTGGGAGCAGTAGTACTGGCAGGAGGCCCATTGGTCAGCACCGTAGTCAGCGGGATGGTCTGCAGAGTGACAGTGGAGCCCGGCCCCACAGGGGTTACTCCTAGGTGGATGTTACTGGGCACTGAAGAAGTACTGAGAAGAAACAAAAAACAGAGCTGGTTAAGGCAGGAAGCACCCTAGCTGGCTAAGAATGAGGGCACAAAAGGAATGGAGTTGTACATCAGCTGTGCCTTTATTACTCTAGCTAATATTTGTTAATTTGTATAGGTCAGAGATCATTCTAGAAGACTGATACTATTCAAACTTCAAAACCACCCATGAACTGAATAAGTATAATATAATATAATATAATATAATATAATATAATATAATTAATATGCATCAGTTTGAGGAAACTGAGGCACGCAGTCCACAGCCCACAGAGCTAGTAAAGACTGGAGCAGGGACTTGGCATGCAAGCCTTATGAAACTTAAAGCACATGTTCCTCTACATTCTACTCAACTGCTTCTCCTCCTCTGAAGACTGTCCCCATGGCCCAAACCATGGGGTACAGAAATAACCCTAAATCCAATCTTTTCAGAGAGAACTGTAGGCCCTTTAGCATCAAAGAAAGTGGGTGCTTCCCAAGAGGCATGGAAGGCAGTTTTATGTCTGCAACGTACATACTCCGTTGTGAAGTGGAAGAGACTTAATGGCGTGGGTCCAGGTGTAGAAGCCCCAGATTGCTCCTGAGGACACATTCTGAAGTCACAAGACCAGTCATATCTTGTAGCAAAAGCACCTCCCCCAAGTGAAGTGCTTGCTTTGGATTACTCTGGTATGTGACTCCAGGCAAGTCACCTTTCTCCCTTCCTCCCTCCCTAGGTCCCTTCCTCACTTCCTCCCTCTCTCTCAAGATTTATTTTTAACTGCATTTTTTAAGATTAAAAATTACTTTGCTAATTTTTATTTATTTATTTGTGTGTGTGTGTGTGTGTGTGTGTGTGTGTGTGTGTGTGTGCGCGCGCGCGCGCACGCATGCCATATCCAGTGAGACCAGAAGAAGGTGCTAAGTCCTCTGGACTGGTTACAGGCGGTTATGAGCTACTCAATTTATGTGCGGGAACCAAACCTGGGTCTTCTGCAAGAGCAGTTCACACTCTTAACCACTGAACCCTCCCCATTATTCCTCTTCTGACCAGTAAGTGTCCTGCTTGCTTCTCAGGGAGTTCTATGAAGATCCTGCAAAAACTGGAAACACAGCAGAGCTTCCCAGGAAGGTGACAACTGACCCCTTACACTCAACATAAGGGACTAAAGGAAGACTCCAATTACTTTGGTACCCTTACCTCACAGTCTTGGTGAGCTTGGCCTGGCTCTGTAGTGGAGAGACAAGCATGGTGGAGGTAGTGGGGACCTCCTCGTCCACAGACAGTCCTAACTCCAGACTTGCAGATGGCTGGAGACCAGTGTGTTGAACCTTTGGCTTCTCCCAGGAAGTGCTATCCTTGTCCTGGGGGGAGGTTCTGGTTAAGACCCTGGAGCTGGCTCTCCGGATGGTGCTGGTAGAGGGTGTGGAAGAAGTAGAAGCTTGGGGAGGGGCTTCAGCTGTCTCAGTGCTCTCCTCCTCATCTTCAATCACCACCAAGTCTTTAGGCATCTCCTTAAACTGGTATACCAGCCTCTGCCCTTCCACTTTGGCCAGGATTCCTCTTTGGTAGTAATATCTGGAAGGCCAAAAAGTGGATTGGTGAGCTTATCAGAGTTGAATAAGGAGGCCCTGTCTCTACATCTGTCTATGCTAGTCTCTAGTGCAGGACAAGCATGGGATTCAGGCAGGCTGGGGAGGAGCAGTCCAAGAGTGGGGTGGGGTGGGGAGGAATCTTGTACACAAACTTTTGAATGACATTTTACAAGTCTTTCCAGTCTAACACATGTACAAAAAGGGGTCTTGAGTGCCAACCCCAATATTGTTTTGGGGCTGAGGACAGTGAGTGAAGAGGGGGAAGGAGCGAAGGGATGGATGATAGAACTTCGACAGCTCCCTGGCCTGTCCCATCTGGGACAACTCAAGGCCATCTCCGGCTTCTACAATGTGAGGAGATTGGGTGTGTGTGAAGCTAAATACCCTTTTCAATACAGAGATACAAGAGGACTCCTGAAGAAGAAAAAGGGAATGTTAGATTCATATCCTGCAGAGGACTGGGCAGGCCTTCTTTCAAATGGAAGAGCCTCCTTGGGCGTAGAAAGATCTTGGTAATCCCTCAGGGCATGAATTCTATTTTCCCACAACTCCTACCTTAGAGCCCGCCCCATGGTCTCATAGTTCATGTCAGGCTTGTTTTTCTGCTTGCCCCACAGCTTGGACACAGCCTTGGAATCCACCAACTTGAAGATGCCTTTCTCTCGCTGGGTCCACTTGATGTACTTGGGGCAGGTGTTTCTGTCTTGTAAAAGGGCCAGAAGGAACTCCCACAGATAAATAGTACTGCCTGCAGAGGGGTAGGCAGTTAGGGGCAGCTCAGGCCTCTGAAATTAAAGAGCACCCTGCTCACCTCACCTGAGCCCCAGCCATACCTTTGCCATCCTTGGATTTCTTCCGTATGGGAATGCTGGGGTCAGTGACAGGTGAGGTACTTCGGTTGTTCTTTGTCTTTCGGCCTGTGAGGAGAAAGTCGGTAAGCAGAAAGCTGAGTTCAAAGTTATCTGGGCAAGCTGGATATGACAGGACCAACCACCACCAGCAAGCCAGGTCACTAAGGCAGGAGGTCCAACCCTTCCCCACAGTCACAGAGAACAGGCATCTGCACCATCCATTTCAGTCTCTAAATGGAACTCCACATCAAGCCTACCACATAGGGAGATGCAAGGTTTGCAAAAGTACCTTTAGAAAAAAACCAGGGCAGACATTCCTGACCTAACTTTTGGAAAGGGAGACAGCCTACAGGTGTTTTTGTGGTGCAGGTCAGTGTAGTACAGAGAGATGAATAGGTGTACTGATGCAGTATCAAGCAGCCATCCCCCAAGTAAATCAATAACACAGGGGCTTGGGAAAGCCCAAAGTCCTTGCATAGATGGTCTGTTTCATAAGTGCAATAGAAGCTAGATAAGCATACAGCATGACTCATTTTTATAAGTGAAGGTCCCCAAAGTCCAGGAACTAGCCCAGAGTCTAGGCCTGGTATCCCAACACCCAACCTAGGATCCAATCAACTGAAACTACTGGCATTGCTTAGAGGAGTTTATGAACGTGCTAAACAGATAGGAGCCACAGGAGAAAGGCCAGGCTTTGGGATGAAAACCTAATGAAGCCAAGACTTACAAAACAGTGACCTTTAGTTCATCCCTGCTGGACCAAAGTGACAACCTCTTAAGGCATTTGTGAGCCTCAAGTCACTCAGTCCTTGGACCTCCCAGTCCCCCACACTTCTCCCAGCGAAGAAGACTCCCACAGTCTTACTTCTCTTCCTTGACTTCCCGATCTTCTTAGGACTTTCCTCTCTGGAAACCCTCTCCTCCAGAGACTGCTCCTTCTGGTCACCAGTATCGCTTGTCTTCTTCGGGTCTTCAGGTTCAGTGGCAGAAAACAGGAAGTTGGGCAGACTGACGGCCTGTACAGAATCTGAGTCTGGAAGTATTTCAGGTGTGCTGACTGCAGGAAGAAAGGGCCGTGGTGAGCAGAGCTAAGGGCAAAGATAGCCTCCCCCCGCCCCTTATCTCTAGTGCTGTGGCTCCAGAGCAAAGTGGTCAGCATGGGGGATGGTGGGGATGCCATTCTCTGTAGCCCCAGACATAGGATACACCTAAAGTTATCTTGGGGGTCTTGCCCTATGAAAGGGGAAAACATCTGCAGAGCTGTAGACATTGATCAGTCCCAATCACAATGGCTACAATTACTGCTGACAGCCAGTAGTGAGGAAGGTCTAGGTTGTATTTGGATAAAGGACTTGAATGTCCACTCATCGACAACTCAGAAAGACTTCAGAAATCATTAAGCCTAATTTCTCTGCTTTCCTGATAAGGAAACTAAGAAATGGCAAATCATGTGCCATGGTCACACAGCAACAGTGGCACATGTTGGCACTCAGTCATTATTTGCTGAATCCTGGCTCAGTGTTAGTGAGAGGAATGGGAAGAAATTTCTTTTAGCCTCAGAGATTTGTTTGTCTTCATAGTACCCACCTTGTGCAAGGGCAATCAAGTGGGGGGGCACTCTTTTGAAGCATTAGAGTACCTTCTGGAGAAGGAGCTGAGAGGTGCTGCCTGGGAGGTCTTCTAAGGACCTATGGGCCATGGAAGACCAACAGGCATTTGTGGCCTCTTAGAATATGGCCTTCAAGAACAGGCAACAAGGGCTGTGAGAGGGTTTGATAGGTAAGGCACTTGCTGCCAAGTCTTATGACCGGAGTTCAATCTCCAGGACCAACACGATGGGAGGAGAGAATCAACTCCTAAAAGTTGTCTTCTGACCTCCACATACAATATGGCATATGCATGCACACAGCCACACACAAAATATAATTTAAATTTTAATAAAAATATTTTAAAAGAACAGGTAATGGATTATTCATTCAGTTTTATCAGATGTAAAGAACTCTAAAGATGGCCATGATAGCTGTTCAACAATGTGAAATCACTTACCACTGCTGAGTTGTACCCTTCAAATTGACTAAGTTTTGTTGTATGTATATTTAACAAAAAATTGGTGGAATAACACTAATATTTTTCTGGCCATCTTTCCCTTGTCTCTAGTACCTTTCTGATCCTTTCCTGTCAGTCCAGGCTGGAGTCTCTTCCCATGTATATTGATAGATGCCAGTACCTAGACCTAATGGCCATGTGTCTGAAAATCCAATGTATGAATGCGAAGTGGACTATTTTGTCCTCTTGAATTTAGGTACTCGAGTTCAAACTTACAGATCTGCTTCTCGTCCAGGACTTCATTGGGAGATTCCACATTGAATAGGACTTCAGTAGATGACACATTTTGTGAGGTGGACTCATTGTCATCTGGTTTCAAGTTCCATGGGGTGGGGGTAGAAAGGATAGCTCTGTCAGGCTTCAGAACAGTTATAACAAGGGCCAACCCAAGAAGGGACTCTGTGGTACAGCTGGGCAGACAACAGAGTCCCTCCCACCCACTCACCCTCCCCAACCTGGTTTCCATTCTTTGTGCCACCCCACCTGAGGAGTTTATAAATGGATTGAGATGTCTTCCCTGTCTTTTGTGCAAAGCCTTGCCTATTATGTGGGGTTACTAGCAGCCACAGTGACCTGCTGTTCCCTAAAGGCAGAAGTCCTTTCTCCACCATACACCTTCCCTGACCAAAAAAAGAACAGACCTGCCAGCAAAATACCGCCTTCTAGGATCTGATCCTGTGTCATGCACAAGGTCCTGTCCCTTATGATGCCAGTGTGGACATCATCCAGATCCAGTCCCGAGTATAGATGCAGTAATTCAGGATAGGGGACCTGCTCCACAATCACAGCTGGGAACACTGAAGGGTCTTCCAGCTATGGAGAAGAAAAAGATGTGGGTCAAAGCTCATCTGTTTCTTTTGAGAAGCCCATCCTACCAGACGCCAAGACCCACCTCACTAGGTGATGTTTCTTTTAATTACGCTTTTTATTTTATCTTTTTAGAGGTAGGGTATACCACAGCATTTGCATGGTGATGGTCAGAGATCAACTTGCTGGAGTTGTTTCTTTTCTTCCATCATGTGGGTCATTAGGCTTTGCAGCAGGCACCTTTAATTGCTAAGCCATCTTGCCAGCCCCCTAGGTGATGCTTTAAGTGGGATGTTGATTAATAGAGATGACAGCTCTGTAGGACCTGCACTCAGCCAAGTAGTTTGTGTATGTTCAGTACAGGCCTTGTACATGCTAAACATGCATGCACTTTACCATTGATCTGTAGCCCCAATCTAGGCAAACATTTTTTTTTTGATTTGTTGGTTAGTTAGTCCATAGTCTGAGGTTAGAGCTGAGTCTGTGAGAAGAGCCACTAGTCGGGAGGGATTGATTGATAGCAAGGGTGAGGGGGCTCAATGCACAGCTACTTGGCAAGTATTCTAAAGCAACATGTGACTAGTGGTCCTATATTGCACTACACAAATATAGAACATTTGTAGCAATCCATAAATTTGGACTGGATTGGACTGATCCAGAGCCAGATTATCTGGATTTTAAACTGTCTGTTATTTCCTAGCACCATGACCCTAGGAAAGTTTCCTAATCTTTCTGTATGTCAGCTGCCTTATTTATAAAACCGGGTTACCCATATTATTGATCCCATAGATAGTTTAGACAGATCAGTAAACATAATGCAGTCACAACAGGCCCTGACATTGAATAAGTTACATTAGGTATCTTATACATTAGGAGCTTCTAGGAAACAAATGTTTTGTTTCTTTTAAAATTTTCAGTGTTTTACCTACATGTATCTAGGTGCACCACGTGAGCACCACTGTGAGGTACTCACAGAAGTCAGAAGAGGGTTGCTTGGAACTGAAGTTACAGCAGTTGTGACCTGCCAGATGTGGGTGCTGAGAACCTAACCAGGGTCTTCTGCAAGAGCAACAAGTGCTCTTACCTCTTCAGTCCCATGTATTGTTGCTTAACCTAAGTATATTCATGTATATTCATGTTTCTTTCTAGTCTATCTATCTATCTATCTATCTATGTATCTATGAGTTGTGAGATCCTTTCTATTTCTGACATTTAACTGTAAAGATTGTTTTCTGTTGAGTGAAGGCAGATGAGAATGCAAAGGCATGGGGTAGAGACTGCCCTGTGGGGAAGCTAAGAAGCTGGTATTTTGAAGGAAAGATTTGATTCAGAGCTGGGGACACCTTAAGAGTTATATCTGAGAGATGTGAAAGATGAGAGATTGGGGGAAGAGATGATAGAGGTAAGGAGGGAGGCAGGAGGAATAGAAGGAAGCAGAGAGCGAGGAAGAAATGGAGAAAGGGAGAGAGAGAAAGTGATTAATTTTTTGAGATCTCGGAGGTAGGTGAGAACAGCTATATGAGAGGATAGGAGTTACCCAGGCAAGGGAATAAAATAGCAGATATAGAGATAAATGGGAGAAAATAGGGCAACTGAGGGAAGCCTTGGCTTTGAGTGGCTCTCAATTGGACCAGAGGCTGTCCAAGGCTGAGGAAAGGCTGAGGGTAGAGGGGTGCTTGGAGTATAAAAAATAGGGATAGCTGTTGACAGAGCTGGAAAGAAAGGAACGATGAAAAGTTGCACTGAGAATCCAGGTAAGGTTTAACTTTTCTTCTCTTCTTGTCTGATGCCTTCCACGAGACTGCATACCCCAGAACAGACAACAAAACTGAGTTATTTTGTTCAAGAACCAGCAGGTCAGAAAATACAATGTGCTCAAAGCTCACTAGAGGGCAGTCTTTGGTTAACCCAGTAAGAGTTTTCTACCCTCCCATAGACAGAGAGCATGGGACTCCCTCAGAGCTTTGGAAATATTCAGCTAGATCTTCTCTTGGACAAGATTTGGGATTCAGCAGCCAGATAGGGCAGGGGAAAGACTTGGACAGGTGACACTGTGTCCCAACTGAGATTAAAACCCAGCATTTTTTATTTCGATTCTCCCTTTCTTTTTTCCTCACCTGGTTGCCTCATCTTTCTCTTTGTGAAAGAGCTGAGTAAGTATAAGGCTGTATAATATCTAGCAACACAGAAAGTGCATCCTCCCGGCTCCAGTGCACAAGGGATAGAGCAATGGGAACCAGAGTACGAGGATCCTATCCTATTTTCCATCTTCCTCCTGTTCAAAGAGCCCATCTCTGTCACATCCTAAATCCTCAGCCTGAGAAGACATTTATGTGTGAGCCCACCGACTTGTCTAGAACCATGTACCTGAAGATGCTAAGACTCCAGTTCCATGGTGTAAGTCCATCTGGCACTGTTCACTTTGCCATGTATTTGTCCCATCAGTTTTCTTACTGTGACATTGGGGCTGAAGGAAAGTAGCAGACACCCTACATGATGTTCAGTAGTATGTAAGTGTCCACTTAGTCCCATTTACCAATTGACTCACAGCTCAGCCAGTTTGCCTAATAATTACTTGGCCAGCATGGTGACTACCCGTGCTATAATGGGATGTAGTTAATGAGCTCCCTGAGTGACCATTCAATGACACCTAGGAGTAGCTGGTGCACAGGCTGGCTGGCAGGTAGACCCAGTGCTCTAACATAGCAGGTGCCTGATTGGTATTTGCTGACTAGTTAACTATCAATCCCCCTGGACTCACAGGCTGGCTGTATGTGTGTCTGTTTCCCCCTGCTTGCCCATATTGGTTGACTGTGTTTTATTCCCAGAGGCCATACCTGGTGGATGTCATCCATCCCGTTGCTTGCAAACTCAAACACCAAATCACTGGGCTGCAGGGCAATAGCCATACTGGCTTCTGCCAAAGCTGACAGTGACACTCCCCCGGCTCCCTGGAGCTGCGGTGGTTTCTTTATGAAGAGATGTTATTCAGGTACTTTAGGATAAATCTAATGCCTTCTCTGAGCCTCCGTGGAGGATATCCAGAGTTGGAGTGGGTGTGGCCTAAGCCAGGTTCAAAACTGCATACTGGACTAAGCCAACCTCAAGAGCAACCTAAGGAGAAGGGAGACATAGAGACAGTGAGTAAGACAACTTCCTCGAGCTCTGTGGCCAGATTAGCTGGTGACTGGAGAGGATCTGCTGTGTCTGGACAGACTTCCAGCAGAGCGGCAGTAGAAACAACCTGGCCTGGCACAAGGCAGTAGCAGGAAAAACTCCATTAACTATTCTGGCTTGAGAACGACTCATGTAGGTGTGGGTATGAGAGAACCCAGGGAGCTCATGGGCTCAGTTTACCTTAGAAGTGAGGACCAGTTGGCTCAGAGATGTCTGCAGAGGAGGAAATGTCTCACTTGGGGTAGGGGGAGGAGGAGTGTCATGGCTGGTAGGTCATATGACTTGTATGCTCATTAGCAACCCTACCCCCACTGCCCACCACAGGATGGCCTCTGTGCTATGCTGTCTGTGGGTTTGCACTCTTGGCTTAGCTTTGCTTTCAGTTTCAAGAATGAACTGTCACCCTGGGAACTTGTGAGGAGAGCCCTGGCTGGGGGAGGGGCCAGCAGAACCTTCCTCATCCTCTATGGCTGGCCCAGCCCCCATATTCCAGGAAATCTCAGTCTGCTGAAGTCTCTCCCCAGTGCCTCTTAAGCTAGCAAGGCCTTGCAGCTGCCTGTCGCTTACCCTGCATCTACTCCTCCTTTGTTAGAGCCTCAGGGTGCTTCTAGCATGATCACACCCATGGCCAACTCCCAAAGACCTGATCTCCACAGAGTCCCTCCAACAGCCTGCTCTGCTCTTCCACCAGGAACACATTGGCCTTTGCACTTATCCAGGTACCAGGTCTTTTGCCCTTTGAGTTCTTTTCAGTGTGTGATGTGTTTGCAATGTGTGGATAACTACAAGCAGGCTGATTCAGCCACTGGAGCCAGAACACAGGTTATCCACAAGAGCACACATCCCAACTCCCTACTCCTATGTTAGTAGTGCCAGAGTGGCAAAACCTTATCCTGGCTTGGAAATAAATGAGGAACAGATGGGGGGAGCAAAGGGGGTGCCACAAGTGACCTCTCTGATGACCGCTAGCGCCCCTCCGCAGGAGACACCCAAGCCTCTCCCACTTCCTTTCCGTTAGCCCACAGGGCTAGCCCCGCCCAGTCTCCGCCCCCACACCTTTCCACCTACTCCATCAAACAGCCTGGAGAAGTTGCTCAGTTCAGTTTTACCCGTCCAGAGTAGAGTTTCCCTTGGATGGAAGAGAGAACTCTCTGTTAGGTCCATCCCCAGTGGAACTGTGGGGATGGGAGAGTGGGGCTGGTGGTGACAATAGCCTTATTCTGGTTCCATGGTTCCACCTTGCCCCACCCAAACCTGTCTGTGACCCTATCCCTCAGTGGCCTGCAAGACCTTGCAGTACCATTTGTGTCTGGCTCCCCTAGTCTAAGTGCCCTCAAGGGTTGCATTCCAATGCTCCTGCCCTCCCACAGGCCAGTCTCTCTGCCCTTAGGAAACATTCTCATAGTAATCAAATAGAGGCGATCACTTTCATCTAAACCCACTTTGTCTCAGCATGAAAGTTGTGTCTGCTCCTGCCCCAGGTCACTCACTGGGGCCCTTCCTTTCAGGTTTGTTTGTCTTCTTGTTTTCTCTTCCTAAACCAGCGTTTCATTTTCAAAAGTTCTGCTGGTGCTATTTGCTTAGGGACCCTCAATGCATTTCCCTACCTTCCCTATAAGATACTGACTTGTGCTTGGTTTATGGAATAAATGCAAGAAAAAAGGAGCAGTGGTAGGCATGGTGGCTCATGCTCACAACCCCAGTATTTGAGAGGCTGTGTTGAATAGATCACTGTGGTTTCAAGAGTAGCCTGGGTTATAAAATCCAGGTTTGGGGAAATAGCCCAGTCTTTAAAGTACTTTCCATGAAAGCATGAACACCTGAATTCAATGAAAAAAAGCCAGGCACAAGAGAGCATGCTTATAATCCCAGGGCTCAGGCAGTATGGCAGGCGGATTTCTGGGACCTGTGGGTAGCCTATTCTGTGAACTTTAGGGTAATGAGAGACCTCCCTCTTAAACAAACACCAAGGAGGACAGACAATTCCTGAGAGGTTGACCTCTGGGCCTCCAAAGGTATGATATACACACATGTGGGTTAGCATAGTACATACCTGCACCCACATGAACACACTGCCCCTATACCCACACACACAAAACCAAAGCAAGAAAAATAAATAAATAAATAAATAAATAAATAAATGTAAAAAAGAAAGGAACAAAAGAAAGAACCAATGAATGGTACTGGTCTGCGAACATCCACTGTATATTTTTGAAGCTGTATATAACTAAATGTACACTGACTGCAGTTAAGGAGAAATGTACAAACTCAGATATTATTTTTGCATTTCTAATTATAGAGGTGTCTGTCTGCTGTGAGTGTGCAAACAGACCACAGGTATATATGCATATTTGGGGTGTGTGCATGTGTGCCAAGTATGAGGACATATGCGTGAGAGCCTCTGTGTGTCAAAGGGCTGCTCTGGTCTGGCCAGCTTGCAAAGCCACAAACTCAATCGTAGGTTCCTCCTCCTGCTCCTTCAGGGCAGGTAGCCTAAGCTGCCTGGGTGAGAATGACAAGCCCAAGCGAATGCTGTGGAGAAGATGGGGGAGGGCTGGGCGGGCCAGGCTTCTGCTGGTCAACAAGGATGTTTGACCATGTGCTTCGCAGGGGAAAAGAGTCAACCCTAGCATAGGTATGGGGCCTACGGGCCCTCGAGTGAGTGATTCCCAATCCTAGGTCCACTCTGCTAAGGAAGTGTGGGGGAGGAAAGGGCACTGTGTTGGATTGTAAGGAACCTTTAACCATCAGTGTAGAAAGTTGAAACAAGTTTGAAATGAGAATGGTAATTCCAGTAGCATTCTTTTATGTACCTGTATGTTCAAGTATCTAAACTCCTGTCTAGTGCTGGAAGATCTTAGAAAACCATCTCCAGTGATCTGGTTCTGCCTGAAGCTATGGAGTGTGTGTGGCTGTGGTGGTGATAGTGGCGGCGGCAAGGGTAAGAAACCAACCATGGAACTTTTCAGTCCAGAAATTTCCCCCTCCCCCTTCAAAAGTTTGAGGATTTGAAAGTGAGAGGTGGAGAAAGGCTCATTTGCATATTCACTCACTCTCCCCCCCCAGTCCCTCAAAATAACCTCCCTCTCCCAGGAACTTGAAACCAAAGAAGCCACCACCCCAGAAGGCACACCCTATTGGAGGTAGGCGAAAAAGACATGAAGGTTCTTCTGTCCAGGGTCCTCTCACAGCCCTTTGGCTAGGCCACAGCTTCAGTGGCCTATAATTCTCCTGGACACTGCTTTACTAGTGAGTGGAGGTCAGAAGACACAAATGGCTCCAGGCAAAGTCCATCCCCAAATCTATCTTACTGGAGTGGGAAATGATGTCTGGTTGATACACTGAAGTCTGATGTACATTGCCAAGAGTGTGTACCACAAGAGGGAGCAAAAAGGCCAGGGCGCCTGTAAACACACACATCTCTGGCTCTGACGTTCTGATTGCACTTCAAAACCAAGAAGCACAGAAGTGGTTTAGGATGATTGTGCATCACCATAACTAGGCCCCCTTCAGAGGTACAGATACTTCCTTCCTGGGACTGTCACTGGAATACATTAAGCGGCCTCTAGCGCTCACCCATCTAGGCCTCCCCCACAAGGGGCAGCTTTGAGGTGAAAGCCACGTCCATGATCGCTACCAAGGGAGTTTAAATCTAGGTTTGATCAGCTGAGTCAATGGCTCTCAGAATTGCTGGTAACACCCATGGCATTTTCACACATGCCAAGAAACATGGGGGCCAGATGGTCAGCTGGGCCACACAGCACAATTCTCCTCCAGTTCCTCATCCTCTCAGAGCCAACTGGCACTCCTGAAATACCTCATTCTCCATGAAACCTTTCTGGAATTCTTTGGAAAGGAAATGACAATTTCCTTCATGTCATTTCCCACTCCTTCACCGCCCCTCCCCCAACAGGCACAAACAAAATGGAAGTTGCCCCAGGAACAGAACAGCTGTCCCCTCTACGTAAAAAACAGCCTTTCCTCTGGTTAAGCAGGGAGGAGATTGCGCCTGCCGTACCATGTGACCAGTAGCCTGTATTTAAGAGCCAGAGGGCCAGAGTCAGGAATCAAGTGTGCAGTCCTGAACAGAGCAGACCTAAGCCATCTACAGAACTCAAACCCACAACCTTGTCCCAGTTAGGGCTGCACTCCAAACAGCCAACTGAATCCTTTTTCTTGAGCAAGTGCCCAGAAAAGTGGCTCCAGCCACAGCTATGTTGTCAGCTTCTTCTCCTTTGTCCCTTTATGTCTACTGCCTCCTCCACTAGGGATGAAATCAGGAAGGGGAAGGAGGGAAAAGAAAGGTTTTGCAAGGTTGGGGTTTCTCTATGCTTATTTGCAAAAAAATCCAGGTTCCTAAACTGGGTGTGGTTGGGCATGCAATTAATCCCCATACTTAGGAGGTTGAGACTTGAGGACCCCGAGTACAAAGCCAGCCTGGGTTACATAGCAAGACTTCTGTCTTAAAAAACAAAACAAAACAAAAACAAAAAACAAGGAGATGTAGTTCAGTTGGTGGACTGTTTGCCTAGCATGCAAGCTGGGTAAAACTGGACACAGTGAGACACACCTTTAATCCCAGCACTTGGGAGGCAGAGGTAGGTGGATCTCCAGACCAGCCAGGTCTACACAGTGATTTCCAGGCCAGGGCAAAAAAAAAAAAAGCTAGGGTTACAATTCCCAGCACTGCATAAAAACAGGCACGGTGACACTTGTTATGCCTGCACAGGGGAGGTTGAGATAGGAAGATCAGAAGAAGTTCAAGGTCTAGGTTACACAGCACATTGAGGCCACTCTGTGTTAGACCCTGTCTCAAAAAACCAAACCAAAAACCTTCCCCAAACCAAAAAAAATCAAAAAATAAATAAATAAAGGAGAGACGTATTAAAAACAAAACAAGAAAACCCAAGGAGGAAATAAGTCTGAAAACCAGAAAA